TATGACTTTAATTTATTTGCAATATAATGGAAGATCTTTGGTTTTTTAAATAGTAAATTTTGTTACGGCACCTTGTAGGTCAGTTTTTTCCTGTGTAAGCTAATATAGCAGAGTTTCTCCTGGGGCTGATCCCAGTCTTTCTGGTGGTGAGGAAGCCAGGGTACTCTGTTTATTGGAAGAAAATAGCTAGTGGGTGTTTCTTCCATCCTCACCACACCATATGCACTAGGAGCTATTTTCCTAGGTAAAAAGATTATTTTTAAGAGCTTTTAAAATAAATTCTTCCCACAACTTGCTACCTACATCATACTCTCTCCCCTTTGTAAATTATCTTCTGATAAATAGTTTGATAATCTGGAATGTCCAAAGATTACACCAACAGTTAATGAAATTGCACCTTAAAATTAAAATAATAATTTTTCTCCCATTAAGGTATATCATTAATAACAGTGATTAAGGTCTTTTTATTTTATTTTGTTTTCTTGTTTGTGTTCAGTGAAGTAGTTGAGAGAAATGTTTCTGTGATAACATGAGGTTTTTTGTTTGTTTTCCCTGAAAGTATGAAATAGATTTAAGATCATGACTATTAAATTTCGTATCTTATGCTTATCCAGATTTTGATTGTTTATTTGTGTTTTCATTTCTTTTGGTGTTTTACGAAACAAAAAAGCAACTCCAAGAACCTGTGGAAGAGCTCAGTATTAAGAAAAAGAGGATGTGGGAGGTTGCCATTATAACTGGGCATCCAGTCCCATTAATTTGCCATTATTTGGGAAAAGAACCCCATGGATTAGAGTAAGTCATGACAGCTTTACAGAAAAACAAACACAGGTAGAATTCCTGGGGTTTTTAAAGTTTTAAAGGGAACCTTCATTGCAGTTGGAGAAATTGCTCTTGGCATGACAGAACATTGTAACCCTTCTCTGTATATGTTACCTTTATACTGGCCAGCAGAGAATATGCGTGGCTGGAAAATTCCATTTAGGAGAAAGTGCTTCTGAGAAGAACTCACAAAGTGGATGAGCTCTGTCTCGGCTGCTTTTGGGTTAGTTATTTAGTGTGACGTGGTGTGATGAGCTTTGTCCAAGAGGATTTAAGTGTGAATAATAAGTAGCTATGGGAGCTCTGGTGCGTAGTGCCTAAGGCATTTGACTGTTAACCAAAAGGCTAGCGGTTCAAACCCACCAGCCACTCCTCGGAAGCAGGTTGGGCAATCTACTTCCGTAGTGATACTGCCTCGGAAACCCAAGATGGAATTGCTATGAGTCAGATCCGACACTTTTTTTTTTTTTTTTTTGGGTTAGGGGCATGGTGGGAACTCAGGATCCATACTAACACAAAAGAAACAAAGCATTTAAGAATTTTATGAATGAATCTTTCTTTAATTTTTTTTTAACTACTAGTGAAAAAACAATAACCCTTTGACATATCTATTGAAAATTTATTGGCATATTTGTTCTCAGTTTGGTGTTGGCCTTTTGACTTTACTTATTGGTTGTATTTTGGTCTACAGAGGTTTATTTTTCTGTTACTTTATTTTTGCTTTCATGTTTAGAACTTTCCCTCCACTTTCCAGGGTTTCACAACCTCAGATTGGCACTGATTTGATTGCTTGGGAAAGTGCCTGGTAGGTAATTTGAATGTTCACCTGAGTTTAGTCCTCTGAACAGTTAAAAGCCAACTTGGCAGGAAGATTACAGTTCTTATCTATCACAAAAGTCTTTGTAGCCAGGACTGGGTGGATAAAGTAGGAGCTTGAAGTGAGGGGTAGAAGGAGAAAAACTTCCAAGAAAAAGGAATTTGTTAATAGTAGTTGAAAAGGAATGTCAAAATATAATATGGACAGCTCAGATAATCAAACAAAGGTTTACTTCCCCTAAATAAGTGAATCTTTGATTTGGTTGAATTCCTCTTAGATTTGTAAAGATGGCTGAGAATTTTCTGTAAATTGATCTGTAGTCCTGATAATCTTCTCTGGAGTTGCTGAGGAATTTTGAGGTAGTGAGCCTTTTTAGTGATTGATTTGGAGGGTGGCATAGTAATGTTAAAGCAAAAATCCAGAGGAAGAATCATTAGGAAGGAAGTATTCCAGATGGACTGCTGTTCCAAATGTTTATCTGTCCTTTTAAACTGTAGACCTTTGACAGAATTGCAATCTGTTCATCTTTGTATACAGATAAGGACCTAACATGGAGTGGGGAGTGGATATGAAATAATCCTCTGGGACATGGGAATAAAAATTAGTATTTCTATTTATTTTTTATCTTAAAAATAGAAGAAGTTAGACTTCACAAATAACTTAAAATAGAATTGACGTGCCTCACTTAATTCTTTTGTCAGATAGTCAGGCATCATGCTTGGTAGTAGGAGTCACTTTTTAGTTGTTTTCACTGTATTTCAAAGTATTACATGTTACATGGAATGGTAAGTGGATTCACCAGTTCAGCTATATGACATGGTAGCATCTTTGGTAATGAATTATGGTGAGACGATGAAATTTTTGTACTATAATGAGAATTAAAGATGGTGAAAGATAAATGAGTTTTTCTTTTACAAAAAGGTAAATATGCTAAGTAATTTTATAAAATGATAAATTTACTGACCTGGTCTCTGATAAATCATTGACTCAGTAGTATGACACCTAGAAGATTTTGGGGTGGTAGTACTTAACTTGTCATATCAAAGTAAAAGTGAGATTTTAAGTAGAAAAATAAGTACTTTTCAAAACAATTCATGGTAAAGAATTTTGAAGAGAAAAGTTTGAAACTTTGGTCATTCTTTTGTAAAAACTGATGTCATATACAAAACCTGTGTCTGTATCCTTGAGAAACATAGTATTTCCTTTAATAATAACTAAAAAAAAAAATTTATATTTACAGAAGCAGGAAACATCCACATTATTGTGTGTACATATAGATATACCAAATGTGTTGCTATCCAGTTGACTCAGAATAATGACAACCCCATTTGTTACAGTTGAACTGCTCCATAGGGTTTTCTTGGCTCTACTCTTTTACAGAAGCAGATTGCCAGGGTTTTCTTTTGTGGCACTACTAGATGTGTTTGAACCATCAGCCTTAGTTGTTGTTGTTGTTGTTATGTGCCGTGGAGTCGAACCCGAGTCATAGCAACCCCTCCTTGGGTTTCCAAGGCAGTATCACTACAGAAGTAGATTGCCCAACCTTTCTTCCCAGGAGTGGCTGGTGGGTTTGAACCGCCAGCCTTCTGGTTAGCAATCAAATGTATAATGATATTCTAATTATTTCTATCATCTCTCACTGACTTTCTTTAATGAGAGTTTTCCCTCATCCAGTTGAGATTATTTGGTTACCCTGGGTCCAAAGTTCCTACTGCAAAGGCAGAATGAATGGTTATTTCTCTTTAATTAGTAGTTTCCAAAGTAATCCATTGCTTTGATATCCACAATATAGGATTTTATAACCTGTTTTATAATAATCTAAATACTGTTTCAATGGGTTTTGAATTCATTCTAAAATGTGCAACGCTTTCCCATTAATTTTTAAGAATATCTGATTAGCATTTGGTAAGTTTCAAGTGTCTAGGAAATATACATCATTGCTAAATGGGATTGAAAAATGAGTATAATGATTTGGTAGACTCAGCCAATGATACACTTCTTGTATTTGGATTTACTGTCATGGTGAGGTAACTTATTCCAGTAGAATAAAGAATTGAAATAACTGAATTTAGAACCAGGCTTCTAAATCAAGATTTTTTAAAAATGAAGCATATCACATTAATTGTTAAAATTATTAGTGTTTTAGCTAACAGGTTGTTTTTAATTTTAAAAATTAAAGTATGTAATAGTTCATTCTAGAAATAATGGTTACTTCATCTTTTTAATCTCTTTTCTGTGTATTTTATAGTGGAGAGTGGTATTTAGTACGTATTATGTATGTTGTTGTTGTTGTTGTTGTTATATGCCGTCGAGTAGGCCCCGACTCATAGCGAACCCTCCTTGGGTTTCCGAGACAGTATCACAACGGAAGTAGGATTGCCCAACCCTCCTTCCGAGGAGTGGCTGGTGGGTTTGAACCGCCAGCCTTCTGGTTAGCAGTCAAGTGCTTTAGCCACTATGCTACCAGAGCTCCTCAGTATTATGTATAAACACTGATAATTTTCTAATGGCAAAAATTGAAAAGATGCAGTTGGTGGTATAGGTTCAGACACTGCTGGCTTTTAAATTCTTCTAGATTGAGAGTATGGCACAAATTAAGTGCTCATTAAATATCGATTCGCTTTACCTTTATTTATCCTGGTTGTATTTACCTACTTATACCTTAAATCTTCGGAAGGAAGATGGGGCAATCTACTTCCGTAGTGATACTGCCTCGGAAACCCAAGGAGGGGTCGCTATGAGTCGGGTCCGACTCGACAGCACATAACAACAACAACAAAC